CTACTTCCACCCACTTAGTAAAGTAGTCAACGGTAACCAAAGCGAACTTGACCTAGCCTTTCCCAATTGGCAAAGGACCTATTAGGTCAATTCCACATTTGGCGAATGGGTAAGGACTACTAAGTGTGATCAGCTTTTTAGAGGGGCATGAGGTATGTTGGTGAAGCGTTGGCATTTATAACATTTGAGCATGAAATTGCTGGCTCGCCTTCGGACATCCGCATAACTTTTCTGTCGGCTTTGTGCGGTTTTCAACCTTTGTTGAATCAGTTTCACCTTTTCTGTGGTTTCATGTACAATCTTGGGCCCAAGCAAAGGCCCATCTCCAACTTCTGCCCAGCAGATAGGAGACCGACATTTTCTGCCATATAAAGCCTCGAAAGGTGCCGTACCAATGCTCGAGTGAAAACTGTTGTTGTAGGCGAATTCGGCTAAAGGTAAATGACTTTCCCAATGTCCCTGGAAATCAAGGACACACATACGCAGTAGGTCTTCCAAAGTCTGGATGGTTCTTTCTGATTGGCCATCTGTTTGAGGATGGTATGCACTACTTAGTCTCAATTCAATACCCAATGCCATTTGCAGACTTTGCCAAAATCTCGATATAAACTTCGAGTCCCTATCTGAAATAATGGACACAGGCACTCCATGCAATCTAACAATCTCATCAATATAATTTGTAACCAATTTGTCCGCATTATAAATTGTTTTGACAGGTAAGAAGTGAGCAGATTTGTCAATCGATCAACAATAACCCAAATTGAGTCCATACCTTTACTGGAGCGAGGCAATCCAACAATGAAATCCATAGTGATGTGTTCCCATTTCCACTCCGGTATTGGAAGGGCTGAAGTAAACCTGCGGGCCGTTGATGTTCAGCTTTGACTTGTTGGCAATGTAGGCATTTCGACACAAACTCAGCAATTTCTTTCTTCATTGCCGGCCACCAGAAATTAAGTTTCAGATCTTTGTGCATTTTTGTATTTCCTGGATGGATAGACAGTTTTGAATTGTGGCGTTCCTGTAAAACTCGCTTTTTCAATTCAGGATCATTTGGTACACACAACCTTCCCTGAAATTTCAATAAATTGTTTTCAAATTTAAAGTCTGGCCTTAGCTTGGATTCCCTTTTATCAATGATCTTCTTCAGGAAGTCATCTTGTTGTTGTTTCTCTTTGATCTCTTCGATAAGTGCCGGTTGAGTAGAAATAGCGACTAATGTTCCACCTTGTTCACGCAAAACAATTTCAACCTCAAATTTTTCAAGGTCACATAGCAGTTCTTTCTGTCCGGTGAGTAAACAGGCCAAATTCCCAATCGATTTCCCGCTAAGTGCATCAGCAACGGTGTTAGCTTTCCCTGGATGGTATAAGATTTGCAAGTCATAATCTTTTATCAGTTCTAACCATCTCCGCTGTCTCATGTTCAACTCTTTATGTGTAAAGAAATACTTTAAACTCTTCACTACAACAAAAAAAGGTTTTTACGGCGCGCAATGCACGTCGTAAAAACCCTTCTACAACGTGCAGGCGCGCGTCATATTATGACCAGTCATGGAAAGCCATTTACTTTCAACGACATGTTTCGTATGTCGTTAAAAACTATTTAACGGTAGATTTTGTACGTCGTCATTACTTTTTCTACGACATGCTATTGTACGTCGTTAAAAACTATTTAACGACAGATTTTGTGCGTCGTCGTTACTTTTTCTATGACTACTTTTGCACGCCGTAAATTGGTTAGACAAATAATGACGCTAATTACGCTCCGTAAAATATGTAATACAATGACTTATTATGTCTGTCGTAGATAAGTAGAACATACCACAACGTACATGGAATGTCGTGGAATATTTCATATAATGATGCCGTACAATGTGCATTATTATTTTTTTTTTAATTCAGTAGGTCCTATTTTAACCTTTTTTGTATAATCTAACAAACATTACAAACAAGCTTCACAAAATATTTTTTCAAGCATAAAAAATAAACTACATCCATAAATTATGAAAATTTAAAAATTGTCAATACATTCCAAACATCCAAAAATTAACCGTAAGTTCAAAACAACCCAAAAAGACTATCCTTTAGTTCTAAATTCAACAAAAAAGTTAAAAACCATCCAAAATTGTATCATATACAAGTTTGTAAACAGAATCCAAAACTATTTAAAGATTATAGAAATCTATTCATCGAAGTTCTCAAAAACTAGCCATCACTATCATCATCGTCACTGCTACTATTGGGTTCATACTCATCATCTGAACCATCTGTTAGGCAAATGCACCTCACATGTTACAATTCTGAGAAATTTAAGTTAACAATAGTCAAGATTTCTAGCCAAGAAGATAAACAATATGAGATGTAAACTGATAGAAAACACTTACCCTGACTATGTGAACTCCTGCATAACAGAAGCAGTTTTCCTTACAAGTTGAGTGACAGGAATTGGTTCCTACACATTACCATCATCAGATCACATTGCAAGGTATAGTAGCTATAAAAGCTGTAATATTTTACAACAAAAAAATACATAGAGCATAAACTTGTGATTTCCCAAATGAATTGGCAGGGGTACTTCATGTATCCAAGGTCATATTGAGCAACATCTAAATAACATGAACCATTACTAACATATACTCGTCCATTTGAGAAATTACAAAAATGTGACCTTCAGGAAGAGTTACACACTAGTAAGAAGACAAAACTCACTGTACACGTGCACCACCTTCTTAGACCAACTTTTAACCAAACATTCTCATTCTTATCAAAAGTAATAAATAAAATCATGGAATGAGAAGCAGAAAAGGAAATTCCTTTTTGAGAAGCCAATAAATAATATTATAGAAGCTAATTTGGCCTTCATTAAACACTCAAATTTTGGTAGAAAAAATTAAAATGGAGGTTGAACCAAATATGTTGGTAATGGTCATTAAGAGCCTTTAATCCATCTAGAGAGACAAAGAAAGTTCCTAGATAGGGAAGAAAGAGGGTGAAAGATATTTACAAATTCCGGAGGTAAAATCATATTTTGATCAGTCATTTTGTCATTTTGATTTCACTTATCACCATATTGCAGTTCTCATGTCATACAGAGATCACTTATCACCTTTCTTTCTATATAATTCACGAATTTCATCACAAGAGTTACAACAATCATCATCTGACTGCAAAATAACAAGAATTGGGGAAAATCGATAAGCAACAGAAACATAAACTTCTTGCACTGTATGGGTTGAGTTTGCACAACATAATATAATGAATGTCAAAACCAGTGTACAAAAATAAATAATAAATTTAACGGTAATGCTTAATAACTAAACTAACAAGAGCAATTTACCTAGATATATAATAAACCCAAGACTTTTGTCATAACTTGAACCAAGGAGGTAAATGTTAAAATTATGGAAATTTTCCAAGCCCTATTGTTGTAAATATATATTTAGTTGTACCAAAGCCTGTGTCCTACATTTGACATGCCTATATCGTGTTGTATCTGTACCTTGTTTATATATATATCTGTGTTTCTTAAGAATTATTCAAAATTGCTCCAAAGTAAGAAGATGTTTCTTCCAAATTAAATAGACACAGAAATGAACTGAATATGTCCAGCTCAATAATCCATAACTCTTATGAAAATTTCTTGTATAAGCTTCAGAATTAAATATTCAACTTAGCAATGACACACAAGGCCATAGAAAAACATACCACTTCTGCACCATAGCATGAACCACAATATGTCTCATTGTGTTCAAGCCTCCCACCATGTCTTTGTAAAGGCTTTTCAATCTGTGCCATTGACAGAACAGAAAAAAAAAAAAAAAAAAAAAAGCAGAAAAATTGCTCACGGGGCAAAAAAGGGAGAGGATTTCATTATAAAACATCAAATTATGAATGATTTAGAGGCAGTCTGCTCCACAACAAAATCAACAAGGTTTGCAATAAACATATGGTCTCCACCCAAACATGCCCCTTTTCTACCATTAGAACCTATTATGAGTTTTGAAATGCCATTCGATACAGCAATTCCTCAGTAACTTTATTTAAACACTGGTGCGCTTTATTCTGATATTTTGATGCTCAATCATGACTTTGAAACAATAGTGTAATTTCAACCATCACTTAAACCCTTACAAGTTTCAACTCAAATTTACTCGACAAAGGACTAAGAAAAAGAGTATATGCAATGCTTATGTTAACTTGTATATTTGTTTTCGTGTATTTATACCTAAATAATTAATTTCTACAAGTGACAACTTTAAGTAAATGGTATGTGAGATGGAACAAGTCAACAAATTGATTGCGAATACCACTCACTTGGATTATCAGTTTAGATTGACCAATTTAAGTGGACATTCAAAAATGTACAATTAACGATTGCAACAGATCTCACAATTTTAGTGATATAAAAAGTATGTATATTTTCTTTCCCTTAATTATAATTAAACATCTATGCCCCAAAAAACTACAAATATTTAAAGAGAATGGCACAATATTGTAACTTCATTTAAAGAAAATGATATGACCTCAAATTAACAAATAATGAACTATAGAAACCGAATAATGCTCTCCTAGTGACAAGTACTAAATTAGGAAAGCGAAATAAATATCTCCATTAAAATATAGGTAGAAGACAATGGTGAATCAGAAGTACGTGAGAAAACCAAGCAGCTCGGAACCTAAAAACAGGAATGCATATGAAAGATAGAGAATTCCAAGTGTGATATAAGCATTCCCTTAAAATATCTCTAACAAATATCTCCAATATTATATGATGCTAATCATCCAGTCTCTGAAAAATATAAAAATAAATAAATCACAATATAAAACTGGATAGAAAAAGAGCTCTAACAAATACAATAGTTACTATCCAATATAAAGCAACAAACTTAACAAAATAATACCAGAGTGGCACCACAAGCCCAACTGAAATTTCCTGGAAGCCGAACCCAAGTAGTCCATCAAACTTTGCCACTACAAATAAAAGAGATCCTTCTTTTGTAGCCTCCATGAACACCTGAAAAATAAAGCATGTGTGTCTATCACCAAAGGCAGAGAGTGGAAAACCAATTCCACATTAGAACTCAAAACAAAACAGGAACTCACTCGATCTTTGACCACAAGACTGCCGACTTTCACATTATCTTGACCAAGGAAGCCAGAAACTGATCAAGATCCATAATGTATTGCAATAGATTTTCCTGAATCACAAATCAACAAAAGCTATTTCATCCTAAATATGATAATAATCTCTAAATGTCACATGTTTTTCTTATGTTAAGCAATTTGAGTTGGGACTTAATAATGTCCAGGCCAAACATTTATCAACATTATAAAAATCAAAGAAAATAGAATAAGAAATGTACTAATTTTGTGATATGATTTGGACTTGGAGTGCTTGTACTTAGGATGGAATAAGCAAGCAATCTGCACAAAAAAAATAAAAATAAATAAATAAATTGATTTAATAGGTAATTATTTTAGCAACTAAAGAGCATGTCAAAACCAATAAACAGAGAGCCCCGAAATGAGATATAGGAACTGTTGTCGGTAGTTTTAGAAGAGAAAAGATGAGATTGTACCGTGGATTGTTGTCGGTATAGTCCAAATCAATCCATGGTACAATCTCACCTTAGAACTCAATATAATATTAGTTTGAAAACAATTCCAAATATGGCCAGAGGGAGCTATCAAATGAGATATTTCAAAATCATCTCATACGAATCTTATTTTATTTGGTAAATTGGTTATTTTCAGCATGGGAAAACAGTACATATAACAGAGGAACAAAGAGGAAATGAGAAGGAAGATATTGCATTCATACCTTGAACTAGGAAGCCAACCACTTAGGCCAACAATAGCCCTCAAGTTAACAGGGTAAGCAATCCCATTTCCATATTTTCCCTGGGCAAAACAAGTTGCAGAGTAGAGGGCAGTTGCAGCATCCATACTAAAACCCTCGATACCAAGTTTAACTGTAAATGAGTTAATACAAAAATAAATAAATAAATGAAAAAGTATAGAATTCCTAAACAACACGGTGGTAATTTATTCATGATAGTTGATGAAACTTTTTATCACGATAGATAAATGAACTACTAACTAAACACATGGAAATTAAGTAATTTAATGGCCTATAATCAATGAAGTAACAAGGCAGAAACTTACTATCAGCAGGCTCTATTGACAACAAGTTTGCAATATGCGCTACTGAAGCATCTAAACCTTCGAAATCATCAGGACTATCTTCTGAAAGTTCTCCAACGTCAAACCCTAATACGAAACCACAAAAGCACTTTAGATAATTGTATCAGTATCTCAGCATCAGAAGAAATCTAAGCTTTAATCTTACATGAAGTGCGAGGGAAACCACCAAGTATAGCCACTGGGCGAGTAGGAGCAGTTGGGCATATCCACTTGATCTGCATCATAGAATTTTAGCATAAAAAAATGATATGTACCAACTAAGTTTTGCAAAAATCAAAGAGCCATATACAAGTGCATGGTCACGAGGCTAAGCATAAAGTTCAAAAATATTTCAAGGGATACTTATCCTTACATTTGGAAGAGCAAGTTTTTCCAAGAGTTGGGACCAGCTGCAATAACAAACACAGCACAGAATAAACATTCTAATTATGTGATTCCTCAACTGATTATAGCCTAAAGCATCAGATTTAGACAAATATATTGTAGCAAACTTACTTAGAAGTTTAGATTAGCATAAAAATAGTAACTCGCACCAATCCTGCTGAAAGGTAACTATATTGAAAACTCTCAAATTGAATAATTTGATACTATAATACGGAATACTGAGGCACAAAGACTTATACGGCAGGATATGAGAAAGAAGGAAATAAAGAGGCACAAAGACTCGCATAGCTACAGATCTCTTGTGGAAGCTTCGAATGTGGATGTTTAAAATGTCAGGATATCTAGTATAAAAATGCAAAAGTTTTCCTCATTTTCTGTATTCCTTTATCTAATGCTGTGATAATCTTCATTTTTGTATTTTTCAGACTATACCTGAAACAAGCTTTCAAAGAGCTTCATTTGCAACAAAACTCTTCTATCCATAACAATACATGCCCAAATTTCTATTCTTTGCAAGAAAACTCTTCTATCTATAACAATACATGCCCAATTTCAACTTTCAGTCCAATAAATCCCAATGCAACTACCAGATAATGCGTGGCACTTAAAAACAACCTCATTAATGAGAAGCTTCTAAAAGCACACTAGAATGATGCCCACCGATGCTTTCTAGTGCTTTGTTTTAAGTAAACACACACAGCTTAAGATTGTCTAGAATCACTTCAATGATGGTTTTGGTATGCATCTTGTAGAAGCCTTAGGGTTTCAGCCATTAGCATCCATTTTGTACATCAGTGGGGTCTATGTAATTAGCTGCTGGAAGACTGGAACTACCAATTAATATCAGTTCATCTATTGTGATACACTTTGAGATCTTTCCAAAAAATTGATAAAACCACAAAAGAACAAAAAAAAAAAAAAAAAAAAAAAAAAAAAAAAAGAAAAGAAAACAAAATTATAATACAAAATTAATTTGAATAATGAAGGGGACAAATGTAAATTTTCATGCATTAGTAATTTTGCATACAAAAATTCAGTTCATATAACGTTCAAGATTCAATGGAATATTTATTGCTCCAATTCTCTGCAACCAAACAGAGAAAAGAACCCCACATTGACTATTTGCTTCATTTTCTCAGCAAAAAAAAAACAAAAAAAACCTTTATGCAATTTTTTGGGAAACAAATAGAAAATTGGAGTGATTAGAGGAGTACCTGAGAGGGAGGAGAGAGTCGAGTTCGTACTGGATCTCATTGCGAAGACAAAAACTCATTCCCCTTTTCCCCTTCCCCTTCTCTCACCTCTCCCTAGCAACCCCTTTGGTAACCATCCTCCAGGACCAAACTCAGCAATCTCCTTACCTATCCTCCACTCCGACAATCCAACTACCCCTTCCCAGCCCCTCTGCTATCACAGAACCATGAGAAAGAGAGGGAGAGAGAGAGAGAGAGAGGGGGGGAGGGGGGAATCCGAACATACCTAGATCAAAGCAAAAAGAAGAGAATAAGAAAACCCTTCCCTTTCGAATCATTGATCACTGTCAGCGCTGAACCAGTTTTGCTGCCGAAGAGATAGCACCGTTCTAGGTCGAAGTCCCACCACTGCCCAACTAGTCTCCCTTTCTAACCCTTTCTCTTCTCCCTCTCTTATTTGCTGAATAGCAAAAGAACTTTTTTCTTTTAAAATATTTTTGGTGATTGGCGCTACAACATTTTATTTTGGCGCCTATTTTTTTTTGGATCATATCATTTAACGACATAAATTGTGCGTCGTGAAAAGTGAAATATGTTTAACGGCTGGTATATGTGGGCCGTGTATAGTTGATGTATTAATGGCATGCTATATGCACGTCATAAAAAGTTGTATTATTTACGCCTAACATTGCAAGCCGTAAAAAAATCATCATTATTAGCATTCACGGCCTACGCAATAGACACACCGTGGTTGGGAAATTATTTACGACATGCAAAAAAAACAAGTCGTAAAAGTGAGAAACCACGGCTTGCATTTACTGTATGTCGTTAATGTGGAGCCGTAAAAACTTAGTTTTGTTGTAGTGCTTATGATCTGTGTATATCTCACATGTTGCCCCATATAGGTAGTGGCACCAAATTTTCAATGCAAATACCACTGCGGCAAGTTCCAAGCCATGGGTCGGGTAATTCTTTTCATGTGGCCTCAGTTGTCGGGAAGCATACGCAATAACTTTACCATTCCGCATTAACACACATCCCAAACCCTTATGAGAAGCATCACTAAAAATAGTAAATCCATCCGTACTTGAGGGTAGGGTGAGAATCGGTGCAGTCACAAGTCGAGTCTTCAATTCCTGGAAAACTGATTCTCTCTGATCGGTTCAGTCAAATGATATTCCCTTTTGAGTCAGCTGAGTCAATGGCAAAGCAATTTTGGAAAAATCTTTCACAAACCTCTTGTAATACCCGGCTAAACCCAAAAAACTCCAAACTTCAGTAACATTAGTCGGTCTAGGCCAATTCACCACTGCTTCAATCTTCTGTGGGTCAACTGAAATGTCATCCCTACTAATCACATGCCCTAAAAACATGACATTATCAAGCCAAAATTCGCACTTTGTTAGTTTTGCATACAGTTTCTGTTCTCTTAAGGTCTGTAAAGCAATTCTCAAATGATGTTCATGTTCCTCTTGGAATAAATCAAAATGTCATCTATAAAAACAACCACAAAGTCATCGAGGAATGGTTTGAAAATTCTGTTCATAAGGTCCATAAATGTAGCAAGCGCATTAGTAACTCCGAAAAGCATAACAAGAAATTCATAATGTCTGTACCTCGTTCGGAAGGCGGTCTTTTCAATGTCCTCTGCTTTAACTTTCAACTGGTGATATCCGGATCTAAGGTCAATTTTGGAGAAAACCTGAGCACCTTGCAATTGGTCAAATAAGTCATCAATACGAGGCAATGGGTACTTGTTTTTCACTGTCACCTTGTTCAATTCGCGGTAGTCAATGCAAAGCCTTAATGAACCGTCCTTCTTTTTCACAAATAAAATTGGCGCGCCCCACGGTGAAGTACTGGGCCTGATAAACTTCTTATCCAACAATTCTTGCAGCTGAATTTTCAATTCTTTTAACTCAATAGGTGTCATTCTGTATGGAGCTTTGGAAATCGGCTATGTACCCGGTAGCACTTCAATAGTGAACTCAATCTCCCTATCAATCAAATCCCCTGGCAAATCATCTGGAAAAACATCTGGGAATTCTCTGACTATAGGAATACTGTCCACATTAGCTTTAGTATCAGCAGGTACAATCAATATACAACATAAATACCCTTTACACCCCTTTTTAATTAGTTTGAATGCTTTCATGGACGAAATCAGATATGGGGGAGGTACTACACCAACTCCGTTAAACACAAATTCAAGCAATCCAGGTGGACGAAAAATAACTTGTTTCGTTACACAATCTATGGAAGCATGATAGTTTGTTAACCAGTCCATTCCTAAAATTACATCGAAATGACCAATATTCAAAGGCAGTAAATCAACATATAAAAGTACATCCCTAATAACAATCTCACATGCAGGATACACATAGGCACAAGTCATGGATCCCCCAGCAGGTGAAGACACAGCTAACAAATAGTTCATGGGTTCCAGTGGTCTATTTAATTTTCGTGAAAAAGCATGCGAGACAAACGAATGTGTGGACCCCGAATCAATCAGAATATAAGCATTTTGAGCACAAATTAAGAGTATACCTGACACAATTGTCTCGGTGTTCTGCACGTCTCCCAGTACAAGTGCAAACACCCAGCCTTGCCTTAGAGGTTCTTTTCCAGTGGCTTTGGGATTGGGTTTTGGTGTAACAGTTGATGCTACGGCGCTAATTGTGGCCCTACTAGTGCCTTGAGACGTGGAAGGGCAATCTTTGACCATGTGACCCACCTTGCCACACCGATAACATGCCCCAGAAATTTTGTAGCAAACCATCTTATGTCTTTTTTCGCATTCGGAGCAGGGTGGT